TTTTTTATAAGTAGACATGGGCATCAGTGGTTAATACGGTAACGCAGCGGCAGCACCTCTGTGTGCGTCTGTGTCTTGGCTTGAGTGAAAGAGAAGAACGGGTCTGTGGCCCTCTCACAGGAGCACAGTCTCAAGGCGCAAGGACTCAGGACCTCTAGAGGTTGGGCCCAGGTCTTAAAGCTGACTCGGGCTCCATTTCAGAAGCCTTTCCTGTGGTGCCTAGCTTTCTGGTGCTTGTTCAGTGGAGAGTCGAGCAGCACACTGACGCCCCTGATGTCTTCTTGTCAGGGGTCTGCACCCGGGAGCCCCCATTCTATATAATCACCGAGTTCATGACCTACGGGAACCTGTTGGACTACCTACGGGAGTGCAATCGGCAGGAGGTGAATGCTGTGGTGCTGCTGTACATGGCCACGCAGATCTCGTCTGCCATGGAGTACCTGGAGAAGAAAAACTTCATCCACAGGTAGGAGCCTGGCAAAGCCGCCCTCGCCCAGAGCCACACCTTTTCCAAGACAGCCCCAGCCGATGTGGCCTTAGGCTCGCTTCTAACTTCAGTGCTGGTAGTACATTGGACCTTAGAACAAAGGCACATGCTGTCTTTGGGCATGGATCCAGGACTAAATGCAGCCTGGCCTAGACCCTGGACCGATGGAGCGGTTAATCCCCGGGGTAAGAAATATTTCACTTCTGAACCATTTTACACTAAGTGGAATATTCAATGAAGTGTCTAAAAGGCGTCCTTCCTAATCATCACGGCTCCCTCAGAAAGAGGGTGCTCATTGTTCCTCCGAGGCCAGTCTTCATCGGTAATGACCTCTTCCTGGGAGCGGATGGCACTGCTTTCACATCAGCTCATGGTAACAGCCAGTGCGTGGGTCATGTTTTGTTTCTCTCTCCCTTCTCTCTATTGTGATTTCATTCTCCACTTCACTTGCCGTCATCTGGCTCAGGGATGTTTCCGCTGTTGTCAGAATTGTATATGTGCACGAAGCATTGGGGCTGTTGCAAAGGCTGGAATGCTGTGACCTTCAAGGGTGCCACAATTACCTCGGCCTTTGCATTCTTTGCTGGTGGAAGTGGCTTCCTAGCAAATAACGGCACGTACAGAGCAGCGCCTGATGGGCTTGCAGGAGTGTTTTATACTCCCAGTGTTCTCCACGCCACAGTTGTGACCTTTCCCACCCAATTAACTGAAGTGTGAAACCCGTACATGAGAATTTCATAGTGAGGAATGAGGGTATCATGTGTGAAGTGTTGGCGGTTCCTTGTAAGACAGGTTTTTTCTGCCCCGGGAGAGCCTGATTCAGATGCTCCTGTCATGCGAGAAAGTGAACCTCTGATGCTGCAAATTGGGATTTCTTGACTTCTGGGTTGCCTTGCACGGCTAGGTCTGTTCCCGCTTCATTCAGGCACACGGAAAATGCTTTACCAAAATCCCATTAGGTACAACTCATCGGTATTTAATTTCTCTCCGATTGCTGATGATCAAGTGATCTTGCCCAGCCATCGCCTTAAGCTCTCGGGACTTCTCGTCCCTTTGCCTGGCAATTTCAAAGCTAATGTCCATGAGCCGAGCCCGGGAGAATCAGGGTGCAGGAAGCAGCTGATTCCACAGTAGAGTTTTTAGGATACATTAGGGCAAGCATCGGAGGAAAGAGGAAAAGGAGCAACACTGCGGCGGACCTTCAGGTTCTGGACAGGGCAAGAGGAGCCTGCACTCACTCAGCGCAGAGCTAAGTCTCTGCAGCCCCGCCCTGGGCTCCATACAGTGGGGTCGTTGACCACACAGCACCCAACACCTTCCCAGTGCAAGGCATCACTGGAAGCACTGTACGTGTCTTCAGCCATTCCCAGGTACCCCAACTCTAGAGGGAGATGCTCTCACTCTCTCAGTTTACGGCTGAGGTAACTGTATCCCAGGGATATACACTTGCTCCCAATCCTGGGCCCAGGGAGTCCACTTCCAATGCCCTACTCTGCCGCCTCTCCCGGCCCCGGAGGCTCAGCGTCTGCCTGCCAAGGAGGAGCAGCGGTGCTCCGAGTTGTGGAGTGAGCCCAAGTCTCCAGGGGCTCAGACTCGATTTTCTCGTGGTTGGCACCGCACCTTGCCTCCGCGTGAGGGAGGCTGTGGAGCTGGAGTCACAGCTCCCTAGGCACGGCTCCCAGGACACACTTTCTCCCTTCCCCAGGGACCTTGCTGCCAGAAACTGCCTGGTGGGGGAGAACCACTTGGTGAAAGTGGCTGACTTTGGCCTGAGCCGGTTAATGACGGGGGATACCTACACAGCCCATGCCGGAGCCAAGTTCCCCATCAAATGGACCGCCCCGGAAAGCCTGGCCTACAACAAGTTCTCCATCAAGTCCGACGTCTGGGGTAAGGGCTTATGACCTACAGCTTTGCAGCTGGGGGGTTGTGGGGGTGGTGGTGTGGTGTGGGTGTGTGTGTGTTGAGGGTGGGGGAGTTCCTCCCTCCTTTTCTTTCTTCCGTCTCTTTTTCCTTTAATTTCTTTACAAGTGTTTTCTCTCCAAACTGACATAAAAGGGACAGGAGCCTCGCGGGACGATTGTTTATCCCCCCGCCCCCACCCCCACCCCAACTCTTTTGGAAAAGTGTATGCATTTACAAAAGAAGACATGCAATGAACTTCCATATGCCTGTCTTCCAGCTTTAATGATCTACATCCCATCTTTTTTCCGTTCAGTTTTTAAAGTTTTATTGGTACACACTTCACATATTGTAGTTTAATCATTGGTTCTGTTAAGGTTTGTTCAGTGACCACCACAGTCAGTTTCGGACAGTTTCTTTTCTTTTTTCCTGTATCTCCTCTTGACCCTCAGTATTTTGTAGCAAAGTCCAGACATCATATGATTGGTCCATCGATATTTAGTATGTAGCGTAAAAAAAGTGATTTTATTTTCAGGGTTCCCTTCCCTCTCTTCATTGCCCCCGCTGTTTAGTTGTTGAAGCAGCCCATTGTCCGAAAGGGGCGGGGACAGGGGAGACTGGAGGAGTTCTGCCTTCGGTGCCTCTCCCTGTCGGCACCGTGTCCGCTGAGTCGGTAGTTGGGGCTGAACAGCTTGCTCCCATTCAGATCTGACTTGACTTTGGGTGGAAATTAGATCAAAGCAGGCGGTGTGCTCCCGCGTCATCAACAGGGATATACCTACCACGCTCGGTTTTGTCTTTTTTTTTTTTTTTAGTGTTTTGGGTTTTCTGTCTTTTGTGTGTGTGATTTTACCAGTAGCTGCCACCCAGTGCCTATATCCATCACTTTACTAGAGACTTCAGAACGGCACTGTTCTAATCCTGTCGTTCCCGATTTATTAGTTGAATGCATCTATAAAGGGACTTCCCTCTCTGGTGGGTCACTGTGGTATGGTTCATATAGGACAGGCTTCTCTGACACCTTCAGTATCGGTTTCCAAAATCACAAGTTGGCTTCCAAATGCCCTCTAGTGCTCACCAACCACTTTTTGTCTCTAGGATGGTAGCATTAGTATTCTGAGTGCTGTCAAGTTCATGCTGACTCATAGTGACCCTCGAGGTCAGGGTAGAACTGCCCCTGTGGGTTTCTGAGACTTGATAGAATCTTTATAAAGAGAGTAGAAAGCCCCATCTTTCTCCCGAGGAGCAACTAGTGTCAAACTGTTGGCCTTGAGGTTATTAGCAGCCCAGCAGGAAACTACTACACCATGAGGGCTCCCAATGTTAGTATTTGGAATTCATAAATATATATTTGTAATACTTTTGATATATTTCATTTACCATAACTATTTTCCTTTCACCACTCTCACCGAGTTGAATCCAATTCATAGTGATCTCCGTAGGGTTTCTGAGACTCTACATCTTGACAGGAGCAGACAACCCCTTCTTTTCTCCCATGGGACAGCTGGTTTTAGCCTCCGACCTTGCTGTACTGAAATGATCCTGTCCTTTAACCCGTGGGAACCTCGGGAAATGAGTTCCTAGGTCTTTAGACAAGACACTAGTAATCTTCGATAGCTTCCTTCCATGCCGTCTGGAATGGCAGAATATTCTAGACTCATCTCCTACATTTTCTGCCCTGGAACCAGCCCTTTCTCTCAGCGGTCTGGTTCCTTTCATGGAAAGTGTAATGTCAGGATCATAACTTGAGCACTAGGAGGTACTCCTTGTAATATTGTTTTAGGGTATTTTCAAGGACAGATTTTAAAGTCATTTTCCGATTTAAAAAACAAAACTACCAAGACACCTCTTTCAGTGGAGAAGCTAGTTGGACTCCTGTTGATACTCTGAATTCAAATATAAGGTTTACAAGATTTTCTCCTCCCATTTTAGCCTCTTCTCTCTCTTATTTCCTTTCCCATGCCCAGAATTCTGATTCTCAGTGTCAGCAGGCAAGAGAGAGTTCGCTCATTTGCTCAGTTTCACGCATACAGCTATCACTGCATGGGGACTATCCGTAGGCAGACTGTGTTTTGCTTGAGAGGCGTTGGGTAGCTTTGGTCCGTAGACGTGCTCTGCTGGGGGTGTACGGTTGTAGGATTGTGGATGCGCAGGCCGCCAAAAGGAGACTTGGTTGCTTTGCTTTCGTTTTGATTCTCAAGGATTGCGTTTTTCTCCCCCATTCAATTTTGTTTTATAATTGTGAGAAATAATCACTGCTGTCCTTTTCTGAAACTAACACTGTCGGCATTGTTTGTTTACTTTCTTACATCGTTTTGTTGTGTTTTCTTTTCGCTCCACTTCAGGCTGTGTGTTCGCGGGCTCGTTTCTCAGAGAGACTGTAGCCAGGGGAACCTGGTTCCCACTGCTGTTTCTCCGTGTGTGCGGCCCGAGAGCCTCTTGTGGGAGGCGGGGGGCACAGCCCTGCAGAACTCTGCTGGGTGGCCGAGAGCCACGGCTGATTTATTCTCTCATCGTCGTTGTGTTGAGCGTGTGGTAAAATTTATAAGCGAACTGAAGGAGAGCTGGCCTTTTTACGGAGTTGGATTTCCTCATCTAGAAATGCATGTCTTTGTGTTTGTTGAAGTCGGCTTTGGGGCCGTTCTGATTGAATGTGCTCTGAGGTACTTTGTTGTTTACATCTGGATTTCCTGCTGTCACACAGTCTTCTGTTCTATCGCCGGATTTGTTGTATGTATGAAGGCTATTGGTCTTTTAGATTCCCTTTTTGGTGCAGAGTAATTCTGCGCTTGCAGAAAAGTTGCCAAGGAATACCAAGGGTTCCTTCTGCCTCTCCTCCGTGTTAGCTTCCCGGAGTACGTGTGTCACAGCCAAGGAGCCGACGGCCTTCTGACCACACGCCGGGCTTGCCAGGCTTCCCACGACTGTCCCTGCTGCCCCGCCGCCCAGCCAGGGCACCGCCTGATGCTGAGTTGTCTCCTCTCCCGGGGTTCCCCTACGGCACCTTTCCAGCCCTTCCCTGGTTTCCTTGCCCTGGTCTGTTTTGAGGGATGCTAACGAGGTGCTGATTCTTGGGCATCTTCTGGATACATAATTATCGTAACTGAAGATTTAGTTGTGTCTCTTCTCTAAGTCTTAGGCTTCTCTCTCTCTCTCTCTCGTCTCATTCCATGGGGTTACAGCTGCAGGCAGTGCTGTAGAGAAGGAGACGAGGGGCATCCTTGGGTAGCTCTTGACTTCAATGGAAAGCTTCTAGTTTCCTCTATTAACTAATGTGCTTTCTTTTGGTCCATGATATATACATTTCATTTTATTAATGACGTATCCAGCAAGCTGTATTAAGAGAAATGGGTATTGGGTGCTGTTAGATTCCTGTCATAAGTCATCTTAGTTACTCTGATGTTTATTTGCGTTGTGTACGCATGATGGTTTGCTAGAGAAAGCAATGTAAACTTACTCTGATTGAAAACTTTCCAAGGTGCCATATGATTTTTATGACTATTTCAGGGTAATTTTGTACACCCCAGGAAAGAATGGGGGCTTGTCTTAGGTAGCTGGTTGGTCCCTGAGCTGGATCTCCTAACTGCCAGCCCTGTGTTCCTTCCGTGACAGAGCCCGGCAAGCTTTTAGGCCATGGCACCTAAAAGACCATGTACTGCTTGATCAGTACAGTCCTCCGATCTTCTCAGTGCGTTTAGCCTGATACCATCACAGTCTGGCCTGGGTTGCTGCCAGTTAAAACCTGCCGGTGTCTGGGCTGTTTCTGAGCAGGCTGTAACTTTTGATGTGTGCTGCACAGGTAACTGATACGAAATGTAATATCGTTAAATCTTCTGTATTTTCAACAACCTTTCTCTTTCTTTTTCTTTTTAGCATTTGGAGTGTTGCTTTGGGAAATAGCTACCTACGGCATGTCGCCTTACCCAGGAATTGACCTGTCCCAGGTGTACGAGCTACTGGAGAAAGACTACCGCATGGAATGGCCGGAAGGCTGCCCAGAGAAAGTCTACGAACTCATGCGAGCATGTGAGCCTCCCCCGGCTAGTTCTAGGAGACCCTCCAGTACTGCTGGTGTGAGCGCAGAGTAGGGTAGACTCTTACTTCCTCCCTCACGCCCACTCCTCAGACGCTGCAAATGTGGTCGTTCGGTACATAGTTTTCCAAACTCTTCTCAATGCCTCTACACACTTTTATTTACAGATAATAACTATTTGGGAGAGGGTTGGTGTGTGTGTGTGTGTGTGTGTGTGTGTGTGTGTGTGTGTGTGTGTGTGTCTGAATGTGTGCACATGGTTTTTTTGTTTTTTAAACAAAAAATCAATTGCTACATACCAGACCTAAGGTTTTTATTTATATATACAGATTTCTGGGACCTATCTCCAAACATTCTACTATAGTAGGTAAAAATCAATTGCTACATACCAGACCTAAGATTTTTATTTATATATACAGATTTCTGGGACCTATCTCCAAACATTCTACTATAGTAGGTAAACATGCCCAATGAAGTGTATCCAGTCCTTGTTTATAATTGTATTAT